GGGGGTGGAACGATGCACACATGCATTTCCGATTGGGTTTCTGGGGTGGCTGGCCATTGCGTGTCCACCCTTTCGCTCGCACCTACCCTCAACTCTGAACCCTAAACCCTAAACCCCAAACCCTAAACCCTAAACCCTAAACCCTCATCCCTAATGCGGATCTCGGGCCCGAGCTCAATGGTGCCACGCAGCGTCAGGCGACTCTGAAAGCCAATGGACCTAGGGTTTTTAGGGCTTCGGGTTTGAGGTTTGGTGTTTAGGGTTTAGGGTTTAGGGTTTAGGGTTTAGGGTTTAGGGTTTAGGGTTTAGGGTTTAGGGAATCGGGCTTGCAGTTTGGCATGTTTCGGGTTGGCGGGGTCCAAGATATCGTATGAGGCCCACATAACCCTCAAAGGGGTTTGGGGTTTGGAGCTCGGGGGACGCTACGGGCTTTAAGGGGTTTTGGGCTTTCGTTTGGGGGTTGGGGGAGGTAGTGCCAAGAAAACCTAAACCCTAAATCCCCCGACAAGTAAAGTCCAAAAAACGTAAACCACCAAACAAAAAAGACCAAGCCCAAGAACGCCCAAACAAAATCCAAAAAGAACAAACAACCTTAAAGCCTGAAGCCCTAAACCCTAAACCCTAAACCCTAAACCTCAGAGCCTGAAGCCCAAGGCGAAGGCCATTTGCCATCCTCCAGGCCCAGCTCGTAGGCCAGCCTGGCTCACGGTTTCTGGGGTTTAGGGTTTTGGGTTTAGGGTTTGGGGTTTAGGGTTGGGGGTTTAAGGTTTGGGGTTTAGGGTTTAGGGTTTGGGGTTCGGGGTTGGGGGTTTAAGGTTTGGGGTTTAGGGTTTAGGGTTTGGGGTTCGGGGTTTGGGGTTTAGGGTTTGGGTTTTAAGGTTTAGAGTTTGGGGTTCGGGGTTTGGGGTTTAGGGTTTGGGGTTTAGGGTTTAGGGTTTGGAGTTTAGGGTTTGGGGTTGAGGTTTAGGATTGGGGCTTTATTGAAATTATTAAGGTGGAAAGTTTCGGGGAGTTTCGAAGAAAGCGTCGGGTAGTTTCGAGGAAAGGTTCGAAGAGCTTCGTTTTTTTGATCTTGAACTCATTCAGACTGGATATTGCTTTAAAGCCCTTTGAAAATTGTTTCTGAAATAGGTGCCCTTAAAACGGAAAGATGGGAAGTTTAAACTTATCCCAAAGCAAAACCCAGTAACCCTAAACCCTAAACCCTAAACATTCAAGTTTCAGGAACCCTGAGACCCAGGAACCCTGAGACCCGAAGACTCCAAAACCCCAAGAGCCTTCAGACGCTTGAGTCCCCCTAAGACCCTAAACCCTAAACCCTAAACCCTAAACACCAACATGACGGGTTGGCAGCCGAGCCGTTTCGAAGCACTGAGCTCGGTAGCAATTCCTGGCGTGCTTCGGGGGTTGGGGGTCAAGATGTCGGGTTTAGGCTTTAGGGTTAGGGTTTAGTCTTTAGGGCCTTGGAGGTAGGTTAAGAGTTGGGAGGTGAGGGTTGAGGGGTTTAGGGGTTCAGGCCTTTTGGGCTTTCGGGGCTTCAGAGCTTAAAGGTTTCAGGCTTGGGGGGGGGGGGGGGGGGGGGGGGGGGGGGGGGGTTGCGAGTCTGCAATGGCTCAAGGCCTAACGCTGCGCCCGCCTGTTCTCCTTCTGCAGCATGGAGCAGCAGCTTCCACCTGCCATGAACCAGGCACCCTAAACCCTAAACCCTAAACCCTAAACCCTAAACCCTAAACCCTAAACCCTAAACCCTAAACCTAAACCCCTGTTTGGGTACCCGAAGTACGGGGGGGCGCCTTTAGAATAGTAACCCCAAAAAGGGGCCCTGATCCAAAGAATCCACCGTTTGGAGTTTAGGAGGCCACAGTGTTCTTGGGTTCAGGCACTACACCCTAAACCCTAAACCCTCAACACTGAACCCTACCCTAACCTAAACCCTAAACCGTTTCCTGTTCACACGTCGTGCATACAAGCAACAACAGTCTGACCCTTGACCGTGAGCAGAATGCACATGTGGGTGGGGGGGGGTTAGGGTTTAGGGCTTAGAACAGCGCCTTACTGAGAGAAGCGAGGCAGGACGGCTCTTGTTGCAGAAGCTCTTGGTTGTGTCTGTCCGCGAGCACTGTTCCTGCCGTTCAAGGGTCCCTCAACCCTCCCTCTTTGAGCTTTAGAAGTCTGCTTGCAACCGCCAGCTCTGCACATTCTGGCCTCTGGAACCCCGTGAAAGCTGAAGAGAATGTGGTCCACATTCTTGCCCTGTTGCACGGGTTGAGGGTTTAGGGTGTAGGATTTAGGGTTTAGGCTTTAGGGTTTAAGGTTTAGGGTTTAGGGTTTAGGATTTAGGATTTAGGGTTTAGGGTTTAGGGTTTAGGGTTTAGGGTTTAGGGTTTAGGGTTTAGGGACTCAGCTCCCACTTGTGTCGACGAGCCATCCCACCCCCCCCCACCCAGACTTTGGGGTTTAGGGTTTTGGGGTTCAGGGTGTTTGGGGTTTAGGGTTTGCTTCTAGGGGTGAGGTGACGCAAGAGCAACCTGGGAATAACAGGGATGCGCAGGGGCCGAGAAGGGAACCTAAACCCTTCAAAAGAGAATGAGGGCCTGCTCTGGGTTCCAGCCCAGACCCTAAACCCTAAACCCCAAACCCTCAACCCTAAATCCTAAACCTAAGCCCCAAACCCTAAACCCCAAACCCTAAACCCCAAACCCTAAACCCTAAACCTCAAACCCTAAACCCCAAACCCTAAACCCCAAACGAGGAGCGCGCCCTCTCACCAATGGTCTCCGAAATGCGCTTCTTCATGGCCGCCACGTACAGGCGGTGACCTTTAACTTCGGGGTTGCAGGGCCGGGTTCGGGCCAGGACTGTCATGGAAGGTCAGATGTAGGGTTTTGGGTTTTGGGTTTCGGGTTTAGGGTGCAGGGTTTAGGTTTCAGGGTTTAGGGTTTAGGACAGAAAGAGATCAGGGAAGGCAAGCCGTCGAACGCGCAAGCATCATTGGAAAGCAGAGCAGCTTCCCCTTCGCACGCCTCTCTTACTCCGTAAGCTCCGTAAACCCGACACCCTAAGCCTTCCCAGCATGAACCAACTTGTGGTGTACCCCCCCTTTTCCTAACAGTCCTGAATCAGGATTCGAAAAGTGGGTACTATAATCCGTATTAAGGACTGTCAGCAAAAGGGAAACATCCCAAAACATAGTCCAGTTAAGGACCAGCACAGTGCACTTCATGGTGCGAGGCTGGCACGGCGATGGGGAAATCGGAGTTTAGGGTCAGGCTTCAGGGTTTAGGTTTCGGGTTTCGGGTTTAGGGCTTAGGGCTTGGGGTTTCGGGTTTAGGGTTCAGGGTTTAGGGCTGAGGGATAGCCTGGGGAGAACCAAGGGAAGCAGAGCTGATTGACGACTGCACGGCTTCAACTTGAGTACGTGCGCCCATTGAGATGACACAAGACACGCAAGGCCCTGGAAAACATGCCTAGACACGGGTAGTCCTCTGAATTAGTGTACCTTTCTGGGGGTCCTTTTAAAGGGTGCCGCCTTATAATGGGTACCCAAAAAGGGACCCCGAAACCCTAAACCCTAAACCCTAAACCCTAAACCCACATACAGGCAATGGCTAGAGGAATCCCGTCCGAGCGGCAACAGGTAGGCTCCTTGTTCAGTGGGCAGTGGGTGTGGTCAAGCATGGGCTTGACGCAGTGAGGCTTAAGGCTTAGGGGTTTTAGGGTTTAGGGTTTAGGGTTTAGGGTTTAGGGTTTAGGGTTTAGGGTTCAGGGTTTAGGGCGGCTAAGATCGCGGCCATAGAAAGGAGGAAGCACCGAGAGGAATGGCGTGCAGTACCTCTGTGACATCGACATCCAGGCTGGCCACAGCTGAAGCTGTGTAGAACTCAGGGTTCAGGGCTTTGTTTTAGGGTTTAGGAATTAGGGTTTAGGGTTTAGGGTTTAGGGTTTAGGGTTTGGGGTTTAGGGTTTGGGGGGGGGGGGGGGGTTAGGCCGGTTCCACAGTACGTTAGGAATAGACCGGGAGAAGCTCTTTTCTCAATGGCTTCTAGAATGGACCCTCAAACAGGAATGTAGGGGTACCACTCAAACCTGTAATATAGGGTTCCCGAATCCAAAGGTACAGCGGTCGACTTCTGCTGACACTGATGTTCTCCAAGAATGGGATGGTAGGACATGACAACGGCCGCAGCAAAAGCTGTAGGAGTCTCCCGTTGCTTTTTTTGAGTGAGGCTCGGGTGGAGACACAAGGGAGGAGGGACTATGGGCATGTGGCCCTCATGAGGACCGCGCGTGCTACGAGCAAAAGCCCCCTCAACACCGAAGCCTAATCTACCAATTGCTTAAGTAAGAACCCCCCCAAAAACATTATATATATATATATACACATATATTCTTCCTTATTAAGGGTAATAGAGGGATGTTAATTTTGTTTTTGGGGTCCTTAAGCAAACAGTAGTAATCCTGCCAGGAGGGGCACAGCTCCGCAGCTGTGCGGTATGCACCCGCCAGGCAGCTCCCAGTCGTTCCGGAGGCATAGTGCGGGAACATCGGAATGAGAACTTAGCACCGCCAGGTTTAGGGTTTAGGGTTTAGGGTTTAGGGTTTAGGGTTTAGGGTTTAGGGTTTAGGGTTTAGGGTTTAGGGTTTAGGGTTTAGGGTTTAGGGTTTAGGGTTTAGGGTTTAGGGTTTAGGGTTTAGGGTTTAGGGCTTAGGGTTCAGGGTTTAGGGTTTAGGGTTTAGGGTTTAGGGTTTAGGGTTTAGGGTTTAGGGCAAGCACATCGACTTGAGCGTGACTTGACCTTTCGATGTCTGAATGCCACACGTACGCTCTGCTGCCACAAGCCCAGACGCGAATTTTTTCTGTCACCCGCACGATCGACCCCACTTCAGCAAAGCAAGCGGCAGCCAACACGGATTGTGTCCCCATCACAATCGTGCCCACGTTCATCCAGTAAGAGGAAGGTCATGGGATTAAGGGCAATCGGCCCTTAAGTTAACGTCATTTAACATCGCTCGAAGATCTTGTACAGCTGATCCAAGGATGCCAGCTGGATGAAGCTCCCGTCTTTCGCCATCTCGTGCGGCCACTGGCATGCCCCGTCCCGCCGAAGGGCCTCGTGCAGCCAACGCAGGCCCTGCAACTCTTCCGTGGTGCGTGGCTTCTTGGCGGCGGACGCCGCGACCACGTCTTCAAACTCACCGGACTGCCTTAGTAGCTCCAGTAACCATATTCTCATAAGGGCGCCCTTTTTTGGGGTTGGTTACTTTACTAAGGGAAGCCAGAAACCCAAAAAAAAGGGTAGGAGGGCACCACTGGGCTAGCCAGCTGCACTGCGGCGTTGAGCTCCTCCACGGCAGCTCGGCCTCGCTGGTAGAGGTCGGCATCGGCCTCGCTGGGTAGCAGCAGCTCCGCGCTGAAGTCTGCTGTCAGGTGGCAGATGCCATCGAGGCAGGGCTTCTCCTCTTCCCAGTTCACTTGGGCGCAGAGCCGGACGAGAAACAGCGGCAGGGTCTCGAAGTTGCAGCCCATGTCTGACTTCAGCCCCAGAGCATTCGGGACTGACTTGAGGCTCTTGCTCGGCACATCGATCTCCAGCATGAAGTAGGCATTCAGGAGCTCCGCTTTGTCTAGGAGCAGGGAAACAAAGCGAGAGGCCATTGCGTCGATGTCGACGGAGGCGTGGATCTTGGGATCGTAGCCGGAATCCGGATCCTGGATGCCCAGCTTCATGAGCTCAGCCAGAGGCACGGGTTCTGTCAAGGTGATACACCCCACGCCGCCAATGAGCCTAAGAAGGGTGACGTGGGTAAACTTGCTATGGGATGATGGAGTTCAGCATCCGGCAACGGCTGCTGAAACTACAGCAGCGGCCTCACTGCAAAACATGGGGATGCCATAAACAGCGCCCGAGAGCTTCACCGCACGAGTTTGCACTAGCTGCCACGACCTACCGCATTCAAGGGGTCATTGGGGCTTTTGCTAAGGGATCTGGCAGAGCTTGTTTGGTTCCCGCCTGAGCAATCGCTGGTAAGCACACTCCCGGGCGAGGATGGCCAAGTTCACCATGCAGAGAGATGAGCCGCACTGAAGCAACACGAGCTCACGAGACACGGGCCCGACATACACGGACTTGTGTAGCAGCGCAGACAGCTCCTCATCCGCGGCTGTTGCTGCAGACTGCTTCAATTCCTCAATGGAAGTCAGCTGTTGGGCCTCCTCGAAAGCGGCCCGGCGATCGTCAGAAACCTGCCCGCTCTGGGCCAGCGCCTGGCTCGCAGCACCGCTCGGAGGATGCGAAGTCGTCTGTGAAGTGTCGACCACCATCTGCATTGCCAGGTTTGCCTCGGTTGCCTGTGTTGCTTGGGTTGCCTGCGTCGCTTGAAGCGCCTGCGACTGGGACTCCAGAAACATGGACTGCAAGGACATCTGCCGGTGATCCGTGCGCACGCGCGTCGGGTTGAGGGCCAACGCCGGCGTCTCGGCGCGCGCCTCCATCCCTGCGCTAGGCCTGGCAGGCGGAGGCCGCGCAGGTGGGGGTGCCGGCTTCTCCCTTTCGGGGATGGGCGTGCCCTTCCCAGGTGAGGGCAGAGTGGAGATGAAGGTCCTGGATCCACCTGGGATGGTGCTTAAAGCCATCTGACAAGGGCCTACCTAGGAAAGGTCCACGTTCCCTAAACCCTAAACCCTAAACCCCAAACCCTAAGCCCTAAACCCTAAACTGCCTAGCCACCCATGTTCTGGAGCTGCGCCAGCAGCGTCTCTTGCAGCTTCTGGGCGATCGTCTCCTCGTGCAGGAACTGAACCTCCATCTTCGTCGGGTGAACATTCACATCGATGGCAGCTGGGTCCACCTGGGGAGGGTTTAGGGTTTAGGTTTTGGGTTTAGGGTTTAGGGTTTAGGGTTTAGGGTTTAGGGCTTAGGGCTTAGGGCTTAGGGCTTAGGGCTTAGGGTTTAGGGGTTTCCGAAATAAGTGGTACCTTATTGGGGTCCTTCTTATCAGGGGGATCCTATACTGTTTCGGGGTCTGTTTTAAGGGCCCCGTATTATCGTAAACCCCCGACCTGGAGTGCTAGATACACCCAAGGATGCTGATGGCGAGGGAGCACACTCTGGTAGACGGCCTCAATGGCTCTCTTAAAGGGAGTACACTCCACCAGCCGGTTGTTGATGAACAGGATGAGAGTCAGGGAACGAGAGGTGTAGTTGGGACTCGAGGCGAATCCGGTGCAGGAGAACTTCGGATCCTCCGACGCCACCGAGAACGGGAAGAGTTCCCGGGCCAAGTTCTGCCCATAGATGGTTGAGATGACCGCCTGGGCCGTGACATCTGCACCTCCCACCGTCGTCAGCTCGGAGACAGAGCTGCTGTTCTTTCGGCAGCTGAACCCGACCTTGGGGTAGTGGATCGCGTACCGCTGCACCACCTCCAACACCTTCGCATGCTCGATGCTCTCCTTGCTAAGGGCCTGCTTCCGAGTCGGGTTGTTGTAGAACATCTCCTCCACAACGATGGTCGTACCCCGAGTCCCTGCGCACGGCCGCGCCGGCCCCAGCATCTTGCTCTCACTGTACTGGGCCACGCGCGCGCACTCGTCACTGCCAGTCATGGTGGTGACGGTGACGTGGGCCACGTGGCTGATCGATGCCAGCGCCTCGCCGCGGAAGCCGAAGGTCCCGATGCTGCTGAGATCCTCGTACTTCCGTAGCTTGGAGGTCGTGAACCGCTCGCAGAGGATCGGCAGGTCATCCGCTCGGATCCCATGTCCATCATCTTCGATGCGGAGCATCTTCAGGCCTCCAGCCTTTGCCAAGATGGCGATGCGCGTGCTCCCCGCGTCCAGAGAGTTTTCCATCAGCTCCTTGAGGGCGTTTGCAGGCCGCACCACCACTTCTCCAGCGGCGATGCGATTGACGACGGCTTCTTCGAGCTGGACGATCCGGGGCTCAGCCGAGCCTGCAGGTGGTGCCTCCATGGCTCCTCGCGCCACGGCACGCGGCCAAGACACATACGAAATCCTACCGCAGAATGACAATGACAATAACACCATGCTAGGGATCGTGGTCATGATAAGCATGCAGTCGTCACAAGAACAGTAGTACTAACTAGCAATAGTAGCTAGGTTGCCTACTAGATCTCGAAGCTGGCACAAGGATTCATGTCCCGCCTGTAAGACGTGAAGTTCTTTATATGGGAGTTTACGAAGACAAGAAACCCCTACAATAGACCCCCAAATAGTAGGACTCCCCTACAACAAGGACCTCAATAAGGTACCCTAATTTCGGAAACCCCCACATAGAAAATAACCAGAGGGACCCTGAACCCTAAACCCCAAACCCTAAACCCTGAGCCCTAAACCCAAGACCCTAAACCCTACATGATTCATGGCCTTTAGGAGCAAATTTGTGGGACCCCAGTGCAATCGGGATGGCACCCTCAGCCAACCTTTCTCGATGGAGGGCCTTCTTGGTCTTTTGGTCTGATAGGGTTTAGGATTTAGGGTTAGGGTTTAAGGTTTGGAGCTTAGGGTTTGGGGCTTAGGGTTTAGGGTTTGGGGTTTAAGGTTTAGGGTTCAGGAATTGGGGTTTAGGGTTCAAGGTTTAGGGTTAGGGTCTTACTTTATGGGGCTTACAGGGTGGGGCTTGGGGATCAGGGTTGGGGCTTCCCTCTACCCACAACGCCCCCAAGACAGGCATTTGGGAACAGGTCCTAAACCCCTAGAAACCCTAAACCCTAAACCCCTAAATCCCTAAAACCCCACAAAACCCTAAACCCTAAATCCCTAAACCCCACAAACCCTAAACCCTTAGCTGAGCTGTTCCACCCGCAGTTCACAGTCGGCTAGGAATGAGAAGGGAAAACTTTGGACAGGGGTTTAGGGTTTAGGGTTTGGGGTTTGGGGTTTGGGGTTTCGGGTTTGGGGTTTGGGGATTGGGGTTTGGGGTTTGTGGGGTTTGGGGTTGGGGGTTTGGGGTTTGTGGGGTTTGGGGTTTGGGGTTTGGGGTTTTGGGGGTTTGGGGTTTGGGGTTTGGGGTTTGGGCCCTAAACCCTAAACCCTTCTTATTCCCCTTAACTTCAGCGCCAAGGTCCGGGCCGACACTATCCACGCCGGACTCCGCCAAGTCTTTCAAGGATTCGTCCACGGTGGGGCTCGAGTACTGCCAGCAGAAGGGTTTAGGGTTTAGGGTTTAGGGTTTAGGGTTTAGGGGGTTTAGGGTTTAGGGTTTTCGGGTTTCGGGTTTAGGGTTTAGGGTTTAGGGTTTAGGGTTTAGGGTTTAGGGTTTAGGGTTTAGGGTTTAGGGTTTAGGGTTTAGGGCTTAGGGTTTAGGGCTTAGGGTTTGGGATTTGGGGTTTAGGGTTTAGGGTTTAGGGTCTAGGGTCTAGGGCTTAGGGCTTAGGGTTTAGGGTTTAGGGTTTAGGGTTTAGGGTGTAGGGTTTAGGGTTTAGGGTTGCAGGGCAAACGCCAAACCACTGCCAAACCATTTCACCCTCACGCGGTCAGTCCTCAAATTAGGGCCCCTTTTCGGATACTTATTATAACGCCGTGCCTTCCGTTTAGGGTTTTGGGTTTCGGGTTTAGGGTTTAGGGTTCCCCAACACAGGACCACGACTCTGTCATGTGTCAGGTGGGCTCCATTTGGTGCGTTGTCGAATTTGGAGAGGAACCACGATTTAGAGAAATCGCCATTTGCATTCCTGAAGACACTCTGATCTTACGCACCTTCCCTGGCTTTTTGATTACCCTAAACCCTAAACCCTAAACCCTAAACCCTAAACCCTAAACCCTAAACCCTAAACCCTAAACCCTAAACCCTAAACCCTAAACCCTAAACCCTAAACCCTAAACCCTAGGGAACCAGTCCTTCGGGGGTCTCAGCAACTTCCGGTGCCTGCATCCCGATTCGGACTTCAAATCGGTCGCCCATCTCCTTCCAGCTGCTAAGGCGTGGGGTCTGCGGCTTGGCTTAGGAGCCCCTAAACCCTAAACCCTAAACCCTAAACCCTAAACCCTAAACCCTAAACCCTAAGCTACCCTAGAGGAAGGAGGCTGTCTGGGCAAACATCTTGTGGATGCAGTGCTCAGTGCTCTGACCCTAAACCCTCTCCTTCTGCAAGCCTTTGGCTAAATCTAAGGAGTGGAACAGCAGCGGTGATCCTCTCACCGGGTCCTGGCACCGTCAGCATGCGAAAGTGGGGTCGAGGGTTCAAAGCTTTGGGCTGCAAGGTCTGGCATAGGGCTCCCTGAACCCTAAACCCTATTCCCTAAACCCCAAACCCTAAACCCTTTTAGGGCGCAGGGTTGAAGGTTTCGGGGTTCCCCTAAACCAGGGCCCAGCTTATGTTAGACCCGAACCCCTATAAGCCCGACACCAAAGGATTAGGACTCGTACCCCTATGCTGTACCCCGAAAGGTTTGCTGCTAATGTGGCCCTTACACTGCCTTAGGGATCTTTAACAAGGGTCCCCAAACTTAGTGTCCCTGGAAACCTGAAAACCCCTTAGGGTTTAGGGGTTTGGGTTTAGGGTTTAGGGTTGAGGGTTTAGGGTCGAGGGTTTAGGGTTGAGGGTTTAAACCTTAAACTCTAAACCCCAAACCCGTACACACCAAAGACAGATCGACAGCTCAGTCTCCACCTTAAAACCTCGTCGGGTGCACCGGGAAAAAATCCACAGCCGCCAAGAAGGGTACCCCTGAACCCTAAACCCTATGCTCTAAGCTCCAAACCCTAAACCCTAAACCCCTCTTCATGGGGTACTTCGGGCAACTTAAAGAGCACTTGGGTGCACTTGCGCAATGGACCCTGGGGACTTCTACGTGTGTTGTGGGCATGTGGGGCTTGTGGGGCCTAGCCTACTGCCACTGTCGTACAATTTAAGGCTCAGGGTTTATTGAAATTATTAAGGGTTCAGGTCCGGGGAAGTTTCGAGGAGTTTCGTTTTTGAATTTTTCTTAATAATTTCAAGTTACAGGGGGCTTGAGGGTTTAGGGTTTAGGGTTTAGGGTTTAGGGTTTAGGGTTTAGGGTTTAAGGTTTAAGGTTTAGGGCTAAGGTTTTAGGGCTTAGGGTTTCGGGTTTAGGTCCATTCAAAGAGCACAACTAAAGTGGAATCATGCAGCATTGCTTGGCTGGGAAACAAATGCACACGGCACATAACAACATCCCCATCCCTGATTATCGGACTTGCATTTATTAAGCACTGCCCATCGTTCGTCTCCACTGGACTCGATGGGCTGGCACAGGCAAAATGGGCGTTCAAACAGACGGTTTGGAATGACGGGAGTATGGAGTACATGACGACCTTTGCAGCAGCATTGCATGCCTTTCTTGCTTTTTCGGGCAGACGACTTGTGGCGTGGAAGAAGCAGCGCAGGGCTTTGTGGCAAGCTTCTGCCGGCGAGTCAGTCCATTTGCCAGCGAAGCACATGGTCCTAGTCCAGTAGATTGATTCTGCACGCGCACAGACTCGGAACATGGAACACCCTCCTTACTGCGCGGCCAGTCTGCCAGCATGGCTCGTGCATCAGACTGCGCAAGCTGTTTTTTAGCACTGCGGCCCCTGCGTATGAAAGCAGGAAAAGCTTTCATTTTGTTATCGATCATCAACACGCTTGCACGCTGCTTCTCACCATCTGCCAGCTTTTTGGGCGCGTGCTGCTCCTTGTGCTGATTGGGCTGGATGCCAAACCTGTCTCGCTTCCAAAGGACTTTGGCAAGGGTCGCTTCGGCTGCACCATGCTTGGCCAGCCTGTTTTGAAGCTGTCTCTCTGGATCCAGCTTGAGGATGCCTCGACTCTTCTCTGCTGCAACTTTTCGTCTCCATCTCTGCACGCGCTTCAAGTATGGATGCTTCTTTGAGCCAAGCATGGTTCCACCTGGCTTTCTGACCGCAGACCCACGTCCACGGAAGCATGGACGTGTGGCAGAGTTCTGGCAGTCAAACATCGTGGCACGTGAACTCTGTAGAATTTGGCGTTGGGCTCCCTGCGGAATCGACCAGGTTCGACTCCAAAGGGCAGGGACGGGCGGTTCGACTCCACTGGATGGCAGGGACGGGCATTGCTTGCTTGTTAAGGGTTTAACTTTGTCAGGTTCTGGCTCAGGTGACAAGTTTAGCCTGAGCACACGGCCAGAACCCCGAACAAGCCTTTTTTGATCTCCACTTTTGAATCTGGGGCAAAGGCGTCTTTTAATGGCCCGCTGTTTAGGGCTAAACCCTCAACCCTAAACCCTAAACCCCAAACCCTAAACCAGGGTTTCGGGTTTAGGGATCGACTTCGGGATGAACATGCCGGCCGGTGTGCCCAAATCTTCTTGTAGTTCTCGGCTGAGCTTTTCGGCCTGCGACGTGGCGAAAGCTTGGTAGCCCAGTACCCACATATTACATGTAGGGTTAGGGTTTAGGGTTTAGGGTTTAGGGTTTAGGGTTTAGGGCTTAGGGCTTAGGGCTTAGGGCTTAGGGCTTAGGGCTTAGGGCTTAGGGCTTAGGGCTAGGGCTTAGGGCTTAGGGCTTAGGGCTTAGGGCTTAGGGCTTAGGGCTTAGGGCTTAGGGCTTAGGGCTTAGGGCTTAGGGCTTAGGGTTTAGGGTTTGGGGTTTAGGGTCTAGGGGTTAGGGTGGAACCCTTTTTTTGGGGTTGGTTACGCGATAAGGGAACCTTGTCCTTGTTCCAAAAAAGGGAAAGGGGTACCAGTGGGCTACCAAGAAAGGAGAAGCAAAAGCCCAGGGTCAGGAACATGCGACTTCTCATTGAAAGACAAGCCACTAGACCCAAGAGCCCTAACCCTCTAAACCAACTGAACCCAAGAAAAATGTCCAAAGCCCCAACCCTTTACCCGAAACCCTCAACCCTGAAAACTAAACCCTAAACCCGAAACCGGAAACCCTAAACCGCAACCAAAGGCCCATTGCCGACGTCCACCTGCCTCACCAGCAGCAAGAACTGCAATCAGGGCGAACGGATAGGGCGAGTTTAGGGTTTAGGCTTGCGGCTTAGGGTTTGAGCTTGCGCTTTGCGGTTTGCGTCCTAAAACAAGGGGTTCAGGTTTGGGTCCGGGGAGTTCAGGCCCTCAGGTTGGGTCCCAGGATGCGGGTTTGAGGGGTTAAGGGTTTAGGTTCCTACCGGGGGGGGGGGGGGGGGGGGGCTTTAGGAGTTCAAAGGTTTGGGGTCTAGGGTTTAGGGTTTGGGGTTTAGGGTTTAGGGTTTGGGGTTTGGGGCTTAGCGTTTGGGATTTAGGGTTTGGGGTTTAGGGTTTAGGTTTACCCTTTTGGAAGGTCCTATGGTATGGATGGAAGTATTTGGGGTGTGCATACTCACGGTGCCCTATTTGGAATTGTGGTCTGCCGCTGCTGATGACAACCTGGAGACGTATATCTGGGCTTGCCAAAACCCTAAACCCGAAACCCTGAACCCTAAACCCGAAACCCTAAACCCTAAACCCTAAACCCGAAACCCTGAACCGATAAATTTAGAGAGCTCCCCATGAAGACTTTGCAGGGGCCAGGTTTCCTACATCCCGGTTTAGGGTTTAGGTGTTTAGGGTTTAGGGTTTAGGGTTTAGGTGTTTGGGGTTTAGGGTTTAGGGTTTTAGGGTTTAGGGTTTAGGGTTTAGGTTTGGGGCTTCTACTGTGACGATTCAGATCCCAACCCATAGGAGGTGTCGGGGTTTCGGGTTTTTGGGTTTAGGGCTTAGGGTTTAGGGCTTGGGGCTTCGATTTGTCCACTCCTGGGGCTTCCGAAAACCGCCGTCTGTCCATGGTCGAGGGTACGGCGCAAACCCTAAACCCTAAACCCTAAACCCTGAACCCTAAACCCTAAACCCTAAACCCTAAACCCTAAACCCTAAACCCTAAACCCTAAACCCTAAACCCTAAACCCTAAACCCTAAACCCAACCTCGCACCCCACATGCGTGAGACTCCAAGTCGGCTCTACACTCTACACCTCAAACCAAGCCCTGAACCCCAGAGCCCTAAACCCCTACAACCCTAAAACCCTAAAACCCTAAACACCTTAAACACCTTAGACCCCCTAAACCCTAAACACCTTAAACCCCCTAAACCCTAAAACCCTAAAACCCCCTAAACCCTAAACACCTTAGACCCCCTAAGCCTTTACGGGTCTCAGGGGGCCAGGGATTGCGGCCTGTTCAGGAGGCTGCTACCCAGTAAAAAACCGCGAGGCTCCAAGCCCTCAAGCCCTCCCGCCTGCAGCACAAGCCACTTGAGGAACGGAGGCCTGGGCACCCGTGATTCGGAGTTCAGTGTTGAGGGGTTTGAGGCTTCGAGTTTCAGGTTTAGGGTTTTCGGGTTTTTGGGGTTTAGGGTTCAGTGTTTAAGGGTTGTTTAGGGTTGAGGGTTCAGAGTGTTTAGTGGTTAAGGGGCTTAGGCTTTGGAGACTCGGCTTGGGGTCTGGGGGGCCTATGAATTCTGGGCGTGCAGCTCGGGAATCTTGAAGGTAAGTGAGGTTTTGGGTTAGTTAGAGGTTCGGGGGGGCCCAGGGGTATAAACACAGGGCGTGTGGGTTAAGACTAATAATTCTTCTTAGCTTCGGGTTTCGGATAGCCGCTATTCAGCGTTTTCCAGAAAACTTATAGAATCCCCCCATTGATGAGGGCGGTCCGCAACGCGCGGCCCGGGGATGAAGGGCGGGAGCCCAAAAACTAAAGGAATAAGAAAATTTGGAATTTTCTGGTGTCCGGCTTTACTTATATTCCTTTGAAAATCTCATGACGAAACAGGCCTCCAAGCAATTTTCCAAGGGAGTAAGTAGCCCACGAGCTGCCCTGATTCGCTTTTAGTAAATTGTTTCGGTTACCCGCGTGAATCCAGCCAGGGAGCTACAAAGCCTGGAAAGCTTAGACCCTCAAGAAGGTTCCCCTCAAACCTCGACACCCCCAGCCACCAGAGGATCTCCAAAAACCACAAAATTGTTTGGGGGCCTGGGGGGGCCCCTGGACACTAAAGCGAACCTAACGTTAACAATTATTCTGAGCTTTACAGTTTCGGGTGTCGAGTGTAGGCACAGAAACCCCACCCTGAACCCTGTCCCCGACGTTGACGGGCCAGGACCCCCGCTGGATCTCAATCACGCGATCATCCGCCAGGAACTTCTCAAGGTAGTCGCGTACATCTTCGACCTCTCCACAAGTGCGGAGGCAGAAGGGAATAGGGTTGAGGGGGCTTAGGCCTTGGGGGGTTTAGGGTTTAGGGCTTAGGGCCTATAGGGCCCAGGAGACAAAAACACACGAACCCAAAAACAAAACGCAACGCGAAGCCCTAAACCTGAAGTGCATAACCCGAAACCCAATAAACCCAAAACTCTTTTCCCGAAGCCCTACAACCCCAAGCCCTGCCGACCCTGCGGAACTTCAGGGCTTGAACGCTTTACTAGTACTTGCTTAAGAAACACCCCCAATCTTCCCTACGGTAATATAGGGATTGTTTTCCTTCATTTTTTGGGGGGTTCTTAAGCAATTGGTAGTTTAGGGGGCTCTCGGGTTCAAGGTTTAGGGAATTGGTGACTAGCTAGGTGGAGGGGTTTAGGGTTTCGGGGTTTGGGTGTTTAGGGCTTAAGGCTGCAAGGCTTCCAATGAAACTTAGAGACGCTCGGCACAACAAGAAGGACTCCAAGTCGGAATAACCCTAAACCCTAAACCCTAAACCCTAAGCCCTAAACCCTAAACCCTAAACCCTAAACCCTAAACCCTGGCGGAACGCCTGTGTAGAAGCCGGGGTGCCGATATTCAGAAGCAGCACCTTAGGAAGCAGTGGGCGCCTATGCGGGTCTAAACCCAAAGCCCTAAGCCCTACGCCCTAAACCCTAAACCCTAAACCCTTAATCCTAGCATGGCTGGTGCTATTGCCGATTGCCGCCCTCCCCCGTTGCAGGGCGGGGCTTTTGGCACAGCTGCTCAGGCAGCCGGTAGGGTTTAGGGTTGAGGGTTGAGGGTTGAGGGTTGAGGGTTGAAGGTTGAGGGTTGAGGGTTGAGGGTTGAGGGTTGAGGGTTGAGGGTTGAGGGTTGAGGGTTGAGGGTTGAGGGTTGAGGGTTGAGGGTTGAGGGTTGAGGAACAGGGCTCAGGATTTGGGGGTGCAAGATTCTCGGCTTTGTATACTTAAAGGTTTGAAATTTAATTAGGGTCGATACGGATTTAGGCACTGCTGCAGCAGCTACTGCACATGCAGCAGCCTGTTCTTTTTGGTTTCCTGCCGGAGTTCCGTGTCTGCGCTATGAACGGCTGGAAGGTGCTCTCCGCGACACAGCGTCGAGAGGATACTTCCTATTATATAGCTGGAATATTATGGTATGTTCCGATAGGGCATGATGTCTTTTCATATACTGTACTATACTAAAAGGTTTATTACGATATATCATGCTACGTATATCACAAAACGTTACTAAACCCCAACCTCAACACCCTACACCCCTAAACCCGAGCAACGGGGGCGCAAAGCCGCGGTGTGCCACAAGTTGCAGGAGGACGTTCTGTTCGTAGAGGTCACGCCACACAGTGCATGGGGTGGTTGACTGGGCAGTGGCTTCGGCAGAGTGCCCACGTCGCAAAGCTTCAGCGGTTCCCGGCGATCTTTGACATGCAGCGCCGTGCATGGCAGGAACGAAATGATGCATTCGGTGCGTCGCCTCTCTTTCAGGTCGGCACGACCTCCTCTGCCTTGGCAATGCGTGTGCGTCACGAGAGGTCATGCCAAGTTGGCCTAAATGCATTTGCGGTGGACAATCGTCGGGCCGCTCTCATCATACTCGCCCTTCGAGATCCACATCTGCTGGAAGGTGCTCAGCGATGAGAGGATGGAGCCACCAATCCACGCGCTGTACTTCCTCTCCGGTGGGGCGATGACCTTCACCTTCACTGTGGAAGGCGCCAGTGCGCAGATCTCCTTGGTCATGCGCTCGCCGATGCCCGGCAACATCGTGGTGCCACCGGACAGAACGATGTTCTGGTACAGATCACCTTGCATGTCAACATCACAGAGCTTGATGGACCGGAAAATGGTGTCGTGGATTCCCATCGCCTCCTTGCCCACCAAGCTGGGTTGGAACAGCACCTCAGGGCAGCGGAACCGCTCGCTTTGCAAGGAGATGATGTTGCCGTCTGGCAGCTCGTACGCCTGCGCCTCGTCGTTGCTTTCCGCGGCAGCCTTCAGCTCGCCGTTGAAGTCCAGGGCGATGTAGCAGAGCTTCCTTGGCAGCAGACACTGTGCAAACCTTCCACTTCTCGGCGCTAGATCTATATCCTATGCCCGGCCAGCGAAGAGGTGACTCAAAGTTACCGAAGCTTCTCTTTCACGTCCCGCACGATTTCTCTCTCGGCGCTGCTGCCGAAGCAATACCCACTCTCTGCCAGCATTTTCATGAGATAGTCTGTCAGGTCACGGCCAGCTAAATCCAACCGCCCAATGGCATGGGGAAGCGTGAATCCCTGAAAGATGGGCACCGTGTGGGACACGCCATCTCCCGAGTCCGTGACGATCCCAGTGTTTCTGCCTTCGCCTTCGGCGTACAAGGAGAGCACCGCCTGAAGAGCGACGTGCAGAGCTGGCACTTCAAAGGTCTCAAACATGATCCTTAGCATCATTCCTGAGGACCTTGAAGAGAGCATTTGCTGAACGTCGGAAGGCTAAAGCTGGACATGAACAAATACCCTAAACCCTCAACCCTAAACCCTAAACCCTAAACCCTAAACCCGACACCCTTTAAGAGCCGCCGCAAGGATCTTAGCCATGCGCTCGCGGTTGACCTTTGGATTCAGCGGTGCTTCTGTGAGCAGGACGGGGTGCTCTTCGGGATCCACACGCAGCTCGTTGCAGAAAGTGTGGTGCCATATCCGCTCCATGTCATCCCAGTTCACGACGATTCCATGCTCGATGGGGTGTGTGAGGGAGAGGATGCCACGCCTGGCCTGCGCCTCATATCCAACGTAATGGCATTTCCTGAGCTCATCTCAGCATCAACGAAGGGGAAGGGGTCAATGCATCAAAGGAAACCTAGATCCCAAACCCTGAGCCCTACGAAAAAGTCGTCTTATATGTTAAACAAGAAATAGCGCACTCCATGGACTCCATGGAATCTCTGCGGGATTCTTCGGGATGGTGCACTCCAGTGATATTTTGCTGCCCTAAACCCTAGTCCTAAACCAAAATGGGCAAGGTAAGAAAAAGATTGGGGAAGGTCATAATACTATCGCGCAAGGTCATGGGTCAACCGACAGACCTTGCCCAATGATTTTATGACCTTGCCCAATGTTTCTATCCCAAATCCCCAAGCCCTACAGAAAAGGAACAAGGGTGCCCCTTATCGATCCCATCTCCGCCCGTCCCGAACCCCAAACACCCAGCACAAGTCTCCACTCCACGTCCAAAGCCTAAGAAGCAGGGTTTGGGTTTAGGAACCCTAAACCATCTAAAGCACTTACCCCTAAACCCTAAACCCTAAACCCTAAACCCTAAACCCTAAACCCTAAACCCTAAACATACCGGGCTTCGACCCCAACCCCGGCATGACGCACGGAATCTTGGGGCGCCCTATGATGGATGGGAAGACCGCTCTTGGCGCGTCGTCCCCCGAAAAGCCGGCCTGAGGCTAGGGTCAGCAGAAGCTTGAAGGAAAATGGGAAAGGTTTAGGGTTGAGGGTTTAGGGTTTGGGGTTTGGGGTTTGGGGTTTGGGGTTTGGGGTTTGGGGTTTGGGGTTTGGGGTTTAGGGTTTAGGGTTTAGGGTTTAGGGTTTGGGGTTTAGCGTTTAGCGTTTAGCGTTTAGCGTTTAGCGTTTAGCGTTTAGCGTTTAGCGTTTAGGTTTTAGGGTTTAAGGTTTAGGGAGAAAATCGCCGTTGTGTCCCAACTTGCCCTAGCAGGCAGTAGATACAGGCAGTAGTTTTTGCGATCGTGTCGCATTCTAGGATGGCCCTTAAAACCCTCTGAAAAATATTCCTGAATATGATCCTCTTAAATGCAATAGGGGAAAATGTAAAATGTACCAAGGGCCTACCTAGCATTGGGGAGCGAGCCAGAGCTGCCTTCATCATGCCACTGCCATTGTCCAGCACAAGAGCAACAGGGTCATCATCCTCATCGGACATGGCTTGCTGTGTGATCTGTGCCAGGGGACGATGACAGCAGGTGGAGCTGAGGAGCCGAGTGGCTCGCGGGACTACAGTGATACAGAAGTCTGCTGCGTGAACCACCTCAACAAGACCCTCCACTTGGGAGACTGCGGACGCCTGATCTCTGAAGAGACACCTTCTATGCAAGCTTCTGGTGACCCTTTGTGCTCCAGTGAATTTACTAAGCTGCGGCGCCACAGCGAGTGCGCCTCTAGAAGCCTCGGTGCTCCTTAGGGCCAGTCGCTCCTGTACATGTGTGCTGGCTTGCGCGCCCCGCGTAGACCGTCAATCGGGCTATGAACCTGAGAGCTTCGCCCTCTGCAACACAGCCGCTGACCAGTCGCACACGCGAAGGGCGCCAAAACTAAAGGCGACCACCAGCCAAGTGGGACGAGATGGCCTAGATGCATTTGCGGTGCACAATCGTCGGGCCGCTCTCATCATACTCGGCCTTCGAGATCCACATCTGCTGGAAGGTGCTCAGTGATGAGAGGATGGAGCCACCAATCCACACGCTGTACTTCCTCTCCGGTGGGGCGATGACCTTCACCTTCACCGTGGAAGGCGCCAGTGCGCAGATCTCCTTGGTCATGCGCTCGCCGATGCCCGGCAACATCGTGGTGCCACCGGACAGAACGATGTTCTGGTAGAGGTCGCGGCGGATGTCCACGTCGCATTGCATGATGGACCGGAAGGTGGTGTCGTGGATTCCCATCGCCTCCTTGCCCACCAAGCTGGGTTGGAACAGCACCTCAGGGCAGCGGAACCGCTCGCTTTGCAAGGAGATGATGTTGCCGTCTGGCAACTCGTACGTCTTCGCCTTGTCGTTGCTCTCCGCTGCAGCCTTCAGCTCGCTGTTGAAGTCCAGCGCGATGTAGCAGAGCTTCCTTGGCGCAGCAAACACTGGGCGCCACACACACCTTCTCAACACTAGCTCTGTCTTTTGCCTATACCCAAAGCTCTACCAGTGGGTTCGAGGCTTCTCTTTCACGTCCCGCACGATCTCCCGCTCGGCACTATTGCTGAAGGAGTAGCCACTCTCCATCATGATCTTCATCAGATACTCTGTGAGGTCACGGCCAGCTAGGTCCAGGCGCGCAATGGCATGTGGAAGCGCATACCCTTCGTAGATGGGAACAGTGTGGGACACGCCATCTCCCGAATCCGTGACGATCCCTGTGGTTCTGCCGGAGGAGTACAGGGAGAGCACCGCTTGGATGGAAACATACATGGCTGGCACCCCAAACGTCTCAAACATGATCCTCGGCGCTCTGTCGACTACCCAAACAGCTGCTACGATGCTGCGGTGTCTGGCCGACGGACACAAAACAGTATCTAAACAAATAAAAAAGAAGTTTTCGAGAATGGCCCCACCAAGGTTCTGAGTCATGCGCTCGCGGTTGGCCTTTGGATTGAGTGGTGCCTCGGTGAGCAGGACGGGGTGCTCTTCGGGCGACGCACGCAGCTCGTTGTAGAAAGTGTGCTGCCAGATCTTCTCCATGTCATCCCAGTTTGTGACGATGCCATGCTCGATGGGGTACTTGAGAGTCAGGACGCCACGCTTTTCCTGCGCCTCATCGCCAACGAGATGGTCTTTCCTGAGCCCATCTCAACAGTCGTCTCAACATGGCAGCCCCAGGCTAGAGGAACAAGGATTTACGGGCGGGGGGCTAGGGAGAAAGGCTGCTTCTGCAATGTCGAGCTTCTGGTCCATTCCCACCATGGTGCTAGCAAACTTCGGGCGCCCGATGATGGATGGGAAGACCGCTCGCGGAGCGTCGTCCCCAGAGAAGCCGGCCTGGGGCCAAGGACAGGTCAGGCAAGCTACAACTTTGTCGTTTGGGGGCTTGATGGGTCTCGCATGGTCCTGCCTTGCACATGCCACTACCATTGTCCACCACAAGCGCAACAACCTCGTCCGACATGGCTTTCGAAGAGGGCGGGAAAGGAGGTGAAGCTGAGAAGCCGAGTCGCTCGCGGGACTACAGAGGTCTGCTTCGTGAACCACCTCAACAAGACCCGCCACTTGGGAAGACTGCGGACGCCTGATCTCTGAAGAGACACCTTCTATGCAAGCTTCTGCTGGCCCTTTGTGCTCCAGTGAATTACTAAGCTGCGCTGCCACAGCGAGTGCGCCTCTAGAAGCCTCGGTGCTCCTTTGGGCCAGTCGCTCCTGTACATGTGTGCTGGCTTGCGCGCCCCGCGTAGACCGTCAATCGGGCTATGAACCTGAGAGCTTCGCCCTCTGCAACACAGCCGCTGACCAGTCGCACACGCGAAGGGCGCCAAAACTAAAGGCGACCACCAGCCAAGTGGGACGAGATGGCCTAGATGCATTTGCGGTGCACAATCGTCGGGCCGCTCTCATCATACTCGGCCTTCGAGATCCACATCTGCTGGAAGGTGCTCAGTGATGAGAGGATGGAGCCACCAATCCACACGCTGTACTTCCTCTCCGGTGGGGCGATGACCTTCACCTTCACCGTGGAAGGCGCCAGTGCGCAGATCTCCTTGGTCATGCGCTCGCCGATGCCCGGCAACATCGTGGTGCCACCGGACAGAACGATGTTCTGGTAGAGGTCGCGGCGGATGTCCACGTCGCATTGCATGATGGACCGGAAGGTGGTGTCGTGGATTCCCATCGCCTCCTTGCCCACCAAGCTGGGTTGGAACAGCACCTCAGGGCAGCGGAACCGCTCGCTTTGCAAGGAGATGATGTTGCCGTCTGGCAACTCGTACGTCTTCGCCTTGTCGTTGCTTTCCGCTGCAGCCTTCAGCTCGCTGTTGAAGTCCAGCGCGATGTAGCAAAGCTTCCTTGGCGCAGCAAACTTTGCTCCACACACACCTTCTCAACACTAGCTCTGTCTTTTGCCTATACTCAAAGCTCTACCAGTGGGTTCGAGGCTTCTCTTTCACATCCCGCACGATCTCCCGCTCGGCACTATTGCTGAAGGAGTAGCCACTCTCCATCATGATCTTCATCAGATACTCTGTGAGGTCACGGCCAGCTAGGTCCAGGCGCGCAATGGCATGTGGAAGCGCATACCCTTCGTAGATGGGAACAGTGTGGGACACGCCATCTCCCGAATCCGTGACGATCCCTGTGGTTCTGCCGGAGGAGTACAGGGAGAGCACCGCTTGGATGGAAACATACATGGCTGGCACCCCAAACGTCTCAAACATGATCCTCGGCGCTCTGTCGACTACCCAAACAGCTGCTACGATGCTGCGGTGTCTGGCCGACGGACACAAAACAGTATCTAAACAAATAAAAAAGAAGTTTTCGAGAATGGCCCCACCAAGGTTCTGAGTCATGCGCTCGCGGTTGGCCTTTGGATTGAGTGGTGCCTCGGTGAGCAGGACGGGGTGCTCTTCGGGCGACGCACGCAGCTCGTTGTAGAAAGTGTGCTGCCAGATCTTCTCCATGTCATCCCAGTTTGTGACGATGCCATGCTCGATGGGGTACTTGAGAGTCAGGACGCCACGCTTTTCCTGCGCCTCATCGCCAACGAGATGGTCTTTCCTGAGCCCATCTCAACAGTCGTCTCAACATGGCAGCCCCAGGCTAGAGGAACAAGGATTTACGGGCGGGGGGCTAGGGAGAAAGGCTGCTTCTGCAATGTCGAGCTTCTGGTCCATTCCCACCATGGTGCTAGCAAACTTCGGGCGCCCGATGATGGATGGGAAGACCGCTCGCGGAGCGTCGTCCCCAGAGAAGCCGGCCTGGGGCCAAGGACAGGTCAGGCAAGCTACAACTTTGTCGTTTGGGGGCTTGATGGGTCTCGCATGGTCCTGCCTTGCACATGCCACTACCATTGTCCACCACAAGCGCAACAACCTCGTCCGACATGGCTTTCGAAGAGGGCGGGAAAGGAGGTGAAGCTGAGAAGCCGAGTCGCTCGCGGGACTACAGAGGTCTGCTTCGTGAACCACCTCAACAAGACCCTCCACTTGGGAAGACTGCGGACGCCTGATCTCTGAAGAGACACCTTCTATGCAAGCTTCTGCTGGCCCTTTGTGCTCCAGTGAATTACTAAGCTGCGCTGCCACAGCGAGTGCGCCTCTAGAAGCCTCGGTGCTCCTTTGGGCCAGTCGCTCCTGTACATGTGTGCTGGCTTGCGCGCCCCGCGTAGACCGTCAATCGGGCTATGAACCTGAGAGCTTCGCCCTCTGCAACACAGCCGCTGACCAGTCGCACACGCGAAGGGCGCCAAAACTAAAGGCGACCACCAGCCAAGTGGGACGAGATGGCCTAGATGCATTTGCGGTGCACAATCGTCGGGCCGCTCTCATCATACTCGGCCTTCGAGATCCACATCTGCTGGAAGGTGCTCAGTGATGAGAGGATGGAGCCACCAATCCACACGCTGTACTTCCTCTCCGGTGGGGCGATGACCTTCACCTTCACCGTGGAAGGCGCCAGTGCGCAGATCTCCTTGGTCATGCGCTCGCCGATGCCCGGCAACATCGTGGTGCCACCGGACAGAACGATGTTCTGGTAGAGGTCGCGGCGGATGTCCACGTCGCATTGCATGATGGACCGGAAGGTGGTGTCGTGGATTCCCATCGCCTCCTTGCCCACCAAGCTGGGTTGGAACAGCACCTCAGGGCAGCGGAACCGCTCGCTTTGCAAGGAGATGATGTTGCCGTCTGGCAACTCGTACGTCTTCGCCTTGTCGTTGCTCTCCGCTGCAGCCTTCAGCTCGCTGTTGAAGTCCAGCGCGATGTAGCAGAGCTTCCTTGGCGCAGCAAACACTGGGCGCAGCAAACACTGGGCGCAAACCACACACACACACACCTTCTCAACACTAGCTCTGTCTTTTGCCTATACCCAAAGCTCTACCACTGGACTCGAGGCTTCTCTTTCACGTCCCGCACGATCTCCCGCTCGGCACTATTGCTGAAGGAGTAGCCACTCTCCATCATGATCTTCATCAGATACTCTGTGAGGTCACGGCCAGCTAGGTCCAGGCGCGCAATGGCATGTGGAAGCGCATACCCTTCGTAGATGGGAACGGTGTGGGACACGCCATCTCCCGAATCCGTGACGATCCCTGTGGTTCTGCCGGAGGAGTACAGGGAGAGCACCGCTTGGATGGAAACATACATGGCTGGCACCCCAAACGTCTCAAACATGATCCTCGGCGCTCTGTCGACTACCCAAACAGCTGCTACGATGCTGCGGTGTCTGGCCGACGGCCGATGACACAAAACAGTATCTAAACAAATAAAAAAGAAGTTTTCGAGAATGGCCCCACCAAGGTTCTGAGTCATGCGCTCGCGGTTGGCCTTTGGATTGAGTGGTGCCTCGGTGAGCAGGACGGGGTGCTCTTCGGGCGACGCACGCAGCTCGTTGTAGAAAGTGTGCTGCCAGATCTTCTCCATGTCATCCCAGTTTGTGACGATGCCATGCTCGATGGGGTACTTGAGAGTCAGGACGCCACGCTTGGCCTGCGCCTCATCGCCAATGAGATGGTCTTTCCTGAGCCCATCTCAACAGTCGTCTCAACATGGCAGCCCCGGGCTAGAGGAACAAGGATTTACGGGCGGGGGGCTAGGGAGAAAGGCTGCTTCTGCAATGTCGAGCTTCTGGTCCATTCCCACCATGGTGCTGGCAAACTTCGGGCGCCCGATGATGGATGGGAAGACCGCTCGCGGAGCGTCGTCCCCAGAGAAGCCGGCCTGGGGCCAAGGACAGGTCAGGCAAGCTACAACTTTGTCGTTTGGGGGCTTGATGGGTCTCGCATGGTCCTGCCTTGCACATGCCACTACCATTGTCCACCACAAGCGCAACAACCTCGTCCGACATGGCTTTCGAAGAGGGCGGGAAAGGAGGTGAAGCTGAGAAGCCGAGTCGCTCGCGGGACTACAGAGGTCTGCTTCGTGAACCACCTCAACAAGACCCGCCACTTGGGAAGACTGCGGACGCCTGATCTCTGAAGAGACACCTTCTATGCAAGCTTCTGCTGGCCCTTTGTGCTCCAGTGAATTACTAAGCTGCGCTGCCACAGCGAGTGCGCCTCTAGAAGCCTCGGTGCTCCTTTGGGCCAGTCGCTCCTGTACATGTGTGCTGGCTTGCGCGCCCCGCGTAGACCGTCAATCGGGCTATGAACCTGAGAGCTTCGCCCTCTGCAACACAGCCGCTGACCAGTCGCACACGCGAAGGGCGCCAAAACTAAAGGCGACCACCAGCCAAGTGGGACGAGATGGCCTAGATGCATTTGCGGTGCACAATCGTCGGGCCGCTCTCATCATACTCGGCCTTCGAGATCCACATCTGCTGGAAGGTGCTCAGTGATGAGAGGATGGAGCCACCAATCCACACGCTGTACTTCCTCTCCGGTGGGGCGATGACCTTCACCTTCACCGTGGAAGGCGCCAGTGCGCAGATCTCCTTGGTCATGCGCTCGCCGATGCCCGGCAACATCGTGGTGCCACCGGACAGAACGATGTTCTGGTAGAGGTCGCGGCGGATGTCCACGTCGCATTGCATGATGGACCGGAAGGTGGTGTCGTGGATTCCCATCGCCTCCTTGCCCACCAAGCTGGGTTGGAACAGCACCTCAGGGCAGCGGAACCGCTCGCTTTGCAAGGAGATGATGTTGCCGTCTGGCAACTCGTACGTCTTCGCCTTGTCGTTGCTCTCCGCTGCAGCCTTCAGCTCGCTGTTGAAGTCCAGCGCGATGTAGCAGAGCTTCCTTGGCGCAGCAAACACTGGGCGCAGCAAACACTGGGCGCAAAACACACACACACACACACACACACACACACCTTCTCAACACTAGCTCTGTCTTTTGCCTATACCCAAAGCTCTACCACTGGACTCGAGGCTTCTCTTTCACGTCCCGCACGATCTCCCGCTCGGCACTATTGCTGAAGGAGTAGCCACTCTCCATCATGATCTTCATCAGATACTCTGTGAGGTCACGGCCAGCTAGGTCCAGGCGCGCAATGGCATGTGGAAGCGCATACCCTTCGTAGATGGGAACGGTGTGGGACACGCCATCTCCCGAATCCGTGACGATCCCTGTGGTTCTGCCGGAGGAGTACAGGGAGAGCACCGCTTGGATGGAAACATACATGGCTGGCACCCCAAACGTCTCAAACATGATCCTCGGCGCTCTGTCGACTACCCAAACAGCTGCTACGATGCTGCGGTGTCTGGCCGACGGCCGATGACACAAAACAGTATCTAAACAAATAAAAAAGAAGTTTTCGAGAATGGCCCCACCAAGGTTCTGAGTCATGCGCTCGCGGTTGGCCTTTGGATTGAGTGGTGCCTCGGTGAGCAGGACGGGGTGCTCTTCGGGCGACGCACGCAGCTCGTTGTAGAAAGTGTGCTGCCAGATCTTCTCCATGTCATCCCAGTTTGTGACGATGCCATGCTCGATGGGGTACTTGAGAGTCAGGACGCCACGCTTGGCCTGCGCCTCATCGCCAATAAGATGGTCTTTCCTGAGCCCATCTCAACAGTCGTCCCAACATGGCAGCCCCGGGCTTTACGAACAAGGATTTACGGGCGGGGGGCTAGGGAGAAACGCTGCTTCTGCGACATCGAGCTTCTGGTCCATTCCCACGATGGTGCCAACAAACTTCGGGCGCCCGATGATGGATGGGAAGACCGCTCGCGGAGCGTCGTCTCCAGAGAAGCCGGCCTGGGGGCCCAGGACAGGTCAGGAAAGCTACCACTTTGTCGCTTGGGGGCTGAATGGGTCTCGCATGGTCCTGCCTTGCACATGCCACTGCCATTGTCCACCACAAGCGCAGCAACCTCGTCCGGCATGATCGACATGGCTTTCTCCCTGAGGCTTTTGATCGGCGCGCGAAGGCAGGTGGGTGGTGCTGAGAAGCCGAATTGCTCGCGGCAAAACGAAGATCCGCTTGTTGGAGCTCGCACCAAAGCGGGTGAGCCTGGTTCATGTTCGGGCCTCCAGGTCTTCGAGGCTGTCGCAGGGTTTTTGCAAGCCCAAACCCCAAACAACCCTAAGCCCTAAACCCCAAACCCGAAACCCTTCTGAACCTTCAGTTCACGGCTTCGAGGCCGACCCCATGACCTGAACTAAGCCTGAGCTTCCGACACCCACCTTCCTCCGGTCGTAGGGCGGCACCTGCAAAGGGCTCTAAACCCTAAACCTCCAAAACCCGAAGCCCTAAACCCGAAACCCTAAACCCTGGGCTCTAAACCCGAAACTCCCCCAAACCTCCTAGCCCTAAACTTCCTAGCCCTAAACCCTAAACTCCCCCAAACTTCCTAGCCCTAAACCCTAAACCCCCCCTAAACTCCGAAAAACCCGAAGTGCGCCTTGACCACAAGCTCAGAGCTGAGGCCGAAGTCCAGGGGCTCCTGTTTAGGGGCTTAGGGGTTTGGGGGTTTGGGGTTTAGGGTTTAGGGTTTAGGGTTTAGGGCTTAGGGTTTAGGGTTTCGGGTTTGGGGCTTAGGGTCTTGGGTTTTGGGGCTTAGGGTTGAGGGTTTGGGGTTTAGGGTTTGGGGTTTGGGGTTTAGGGTTTGGGGTTTAGGTTGGGGGCTTAGGTCCCACTTTGGGGTGAGGATGTAGGGTGTACATAGTTCTGTGGGGAGGAGGCGTAGGGTGAGGGGTGCAAGTGTAAGGGGGGGATGTTAGACCTGGACCCCTAAACCCTAAACCCTAAACCTTGGGGTTGTAGGTACACCTTCACTCCTTCGTGGGTTAGTTTATCCATCACCCCGAGAGGGCGCCTCGGACTGACCGTTCTTGCCGTTGCTCACCTCCACGGGTTTAGGGTTTAGGGTTTAGGGTTTAGGGTTTAGGGTTTAGGGTTTAGGGTTTAGGGTTTAGGGTTTAGGGTTTAGGGTTTAGGGTTTAGGGTTTAGGGTTTAGGTTGTAGGGTTTAGGGTTTAGGGTTTAGGGTTTAGGGTTTAGGGTTTAGGGTTTAGGGTTTAGGGTTTAGGGTTTAGGGTTTAGGGTTTAGGGTTTAGGGTTTAGGGTTTAGGGTTTAGGGTTTAGGGTTTAGGGTTCGATCTCTCCACGGCGGCCTCGTCACAAAAAGTTTCGCGGTGCGCGGTAGCCCAGCCCCAGCCGAGGCTGGACTCTGTCATAGCTGGTACAGTGAGGCAACAGCTTTAGGGTTTAGGGTCTAGGGTTTAGGGTTTAGGGTTTAGGGTTTAAGGTAGCAGCAGTCTTGTAATGCGAATAAGAACGGTGGAAATTCAGAACGCCGAGGTGCAACCCCGCGTTTGCTATGTTTCTTGCGCTGGGGGGGAGGGTTGGGGGGGGAGGCGGGGGGTAGGTTGCGAGCACGCGTGATGCGGGCACCAGGGAGATGTCGGCTTGAAGGCCAGGGTTTAGGTTTAGGGTTTAGGGTTTCGGGTTGAGGGTTTAGGGTTTAGGGTGTTAGGGTGTTAGGGTTTTAGGGTTTTAGGGTTTTAGGGTTTTAGGGTTTTAGGGTTTTAGGGTTTTTAGGGTTTTTAGGGCTTTAGGGTTTTAGGGTTTGGGGTTTAGGGTTTTAGGCCGCCTGCACGTACGCGTGCAACCACGTGAAACCTGTGACTCACCAGCCGGCACGCAACGCGGTGGGAGAAGCTGGGAGCCTCTTAAGCAGTTTATGGGGTTCCTAAGGGAGGGTGTTTTGATTGGGGGGGTAAGGGAGGTTTAGGGAGTAGTAGGGAGTATTAGGGAGCCTTGGGTTACATACCCCCCTTGAACCCCCCTCCCTTAAGAACCCTATAAGCAGTTCTTGCCCAGGCACATTGTCCTCAAAGTGCAAGGAACACTGAACAGTGAGGGATGTGGCGCATGCAGATTTTCCAAGACGGCTACTTGAGTCCAAGAGATATCCTCCAGAAGTTGCGCAAGGTCGTGTTAAAGAATTTGTCCGAAGGAAGTACCCTAAACCCTAAACCCTAAGCTTTCCGGGCAAGCATTGCAAATCAGCTTAAAACAGAGGGAAAATGCGCCCCACGGCGTTCTATGATTAGGTAACCCCGCAAATTCGTCAATTAGTTTCTCAGTATATTTCGTAAACCCCCACATCCACCCTAAACCCTAAAGCCTAAACCCTAAACCCTAAACCCTAAACCCTGAAAAGAGGCTGCTCGCAAGAAGAGCGATCTGAACACTCCCAAGTTCAACCAGGCCTGCGAGGCAGGGCGGCCGTTCTTCCGCGAGGGTTCGGCCTTGGGTTGGTGCTTGGCCTTTTTGGGTGCGCCAAGCTCTAGGCCCCACACCCTAGGCCCTGAAAATTGTCGCTTTGGGATTGGGGCTCAGGCTTTACTAGTTCATGGTTGGGATAATATTCAAAAATTAAATATAAATATAAATATATGGTACCCCCCCCCCAGTGACCTACCCTTTTTCGCCTTGTCTCAAGTCACCCAGCTGCACTGCAAGCAAACTCGGTGTGCAATATAGCGTATTTCCTAGGGCGTAGACTAAAACACAACTAAAATCGCATACACGGGACAGTAGAAAAACCAAAAATACCAAAACCAAAAAAAACAAAAAACCAAAACCAAAAAAAACAAAAAAACCAAAACCAAAAAAACCAAAAACACCAAAAAAAACAATTTTCCGGGACTCTCAGGAAATCCCTATGAGGCTTCTCCAAGAGTCCCGGAAAATTGGTTTTTTTGGTGTTTTTGGTTTTTTTGGTTTTGGTTTTTTTGGTTTTTTTAGTTTTTTTTGTTTTGGTACTTTTGGTTTTTTGGTTTTGGTATTTTGGCTTTTTAGCTCGCCTTCACGGTTACGAGGCAACAACTACGCATTTTTAAGCGTGCTTACGCTAATTGTGCTTTTCAGAAATAGTATACAAGTGGTCTTTCCAGTGCTTCAGAACTATTTGTTTCGTTATTATGTAAGTAGAGCCGCTAGTGTTTAGTGCATCTTTTGGTTGTACTCAAGTGTAGTAGACCTTATTCAGCCATTACTTGGTGCTCTGGTAGCTCAATTCGCATGGATGATATTTGCCTGGTACATGCGATTAATTATCTAGAAGCAGCATTTGCAATACTTGTCTTGAGAAAAAGCATTTGTTGCTTAGAATTGTTTGCTTAAAAAGTGACTCCTACTCGTCCAGGAATACCCCAAAACCCTATAATCCAAACTTTACCAGAGATTCTCCTGAAAAGCTTGCGCTTTTGGATGTTTTTATGTATTTGTGAATTTGCTTGTGCATGGCCTTCACAAAGTACTTTTCTAGGATTCTTGTGCATTTTTTAAGCCTGATTGTGCAAGTTGCGTTTTTCAAGCATAGTATATATGTGGTCTTTATTGAATACTTCAGACATCTTGTTTCATCATTATGTAAGTAGAACCGCTTCTATTTCCATTATTGTGCATTTTTAAGCTTGCTCATGCAAATTGTGCTTTTCAGACATAGTATATAAGTGGTCTTTAGTGAATACTTCAGCAATCTTTGTCTCATTGTTATGTAGGTAGAACCGTTTCCATTTCCGCAAGTGTTTATTTCGTATTTGGTTGAGTATGGTCCTTTAAATAGTATTCACTTGAGTCAAATTGGGCTATTTGCTTAAGAATTCCTCTAGTAGTTAAATTCGCATAGAATGAATACTTCAAAAAAATTGTTTCATGAATATGTAAACATAAGGTGTTTCATTTGACTTTGCAGATAGTACTTCAATAATACTTTGCCTGGTATAAACACAACTGTTTCAATGCATTAGTTGCTCAACAAAGCACTATTTGCCCTTTAAACCACACTTTGCCATATTTTGGTTGAATATGGTGCTTCTTTCGTATTTTGGTTGAGTATGGTCTTTTAAATGGTATTCACTTCAGTCAAATTGGGCTATTTGCTTAATAATTACTCTAGTAGCTAAATTCGCATAAAATGATTTTTTCAAAAATAAAAACGATTCATGAATATATAAACATAAGGTATTTCAGTGGACTTTTCAGAGAGCATGCTTTGCCTAGTACAAACACAGTTGTATAAATACAGTATTTGCACTTTAAACGCACACTTTGCCATTTTTTGTTGAGAATGGTGTTTATTTCGTATCTTGGTTGAGTATGCTCCTTTAAATAGTATTCACTTGAGTCAAATTGGGCTCTTTGCTTAATAATTACTCTAGTAGCTAAATTCGCATAGAAGCAAGAAAAATGTTTCACTATTTGATTAATACTTTGCCTCGTACAAACACAATTGTATAAATAAATTAGTTGCTCAACAAAACATTAATTGCCCTTGAAACGCACAGTTTGCATAGAAAACACTGATCTAAACATCTAAAAACAGCATTGTCCGCTTCAGATTCAAAATGTAGATTCTTCCAATGCTGGCTTATCGGGGTCTGTGAGGTGGGTGTCCCAGTAACTGTCCTTCATTACCCGGTGATTAACTACGCGACTTTTGGGCCTTATTTGTTATTTTTTGTTAAAAAGGCCTAAAAAGGCCTAAAAAGGGTAGGTCGCTGGGGGGGGTAGCAAATATATATATATATATATATATATATATTCCGTACTGGGTTTAAGTACCCTTAAAAATGTGAAAATGGTACCCAACTATGACAAAGTTAAGGTGGCTGGCGAAGCCTTTGCGCAAGGTCGACTCGATATGTTCGCCACCCCAGCTTTATGAACAAAGCGTGTCAGAGAGAGAGAGAGAGCTGCCTGGTACCTTAAAACTGGTTTTAGGGTTTAGGGTTTAGGGTTTCGGGTTTGGGGTTTAGGGTTTAGGGTGTGCTAGAAGCCTTCCCCGGCAACCCCTGATGCCCAAAAAAACCCTGAGTGCTCCCACGTA